AACATCCAGGAAACTCATCCTTCCATGCCCTAAAGTGGCATTTATTAACTGATCAATCTTGGGCAGTGGAAAATTGTCTTTGGGACAAGCCTTATTTAGTCTGGTGAAGTCCATGCAGACCCCTCCACTTCTTATTCTTCTTTTTCACAACTACTATATTGGACAGCCAAGTTGGGTAGTTCACCTCCCGAATTGCCTTGGCTTCCAACAGCTTGTCCACTTCCTCCTCTACTGCTTCCACATGAACTAACGTCGGCCTCCTTGCCTGCTGAATGGCAGGTTTAGCTGACCTGCCCATATTTAGTGTATGGCAAGTGACCTCGGGGTCAATGCCAGGCATCTCGTATGGCGTCCAGGAAAACACCTCTATGTTTGCTTGCAAGAATGCATCTAACTCCCTTTCTTCCTCCTCAGCCAAACTTGAGCCGAGAAGGAAGAAGCCCTCTTCATCCTTCTGTTGGACCAGAATTTTCTTCAAGGCTTCCTCACTTTTGTCGGCCAGTTCTTTGCCGACGTCATCCAGGACCTCTATGTCATCGTCTTCAATTTCTACTGTTTCTGCCTCTCGCACGTTGCAGGTGGATTTCATTGCTGCCATGGAGAAATTTTTTGCTTGCACTTGATCCCCTCTGACCTCCTCAATTCCATGCTCCGTTAAGAATTGCAACAGCTGGTACAATGTTGAGGGAACAACCCTTATTGCGTGCAACTATGGTCTTCCCAAGATAATATTGTAAGGGAAGGGGGTGTCAATTACTGTGAACTTTGTGCTTACCTTCTTGGTGCCTGCCTACACCTCCAAATTTATTGCTTCCAGACGCCATATTGGCGTTCCATTGAACCCGACCATTGGGTTGTCGGACTGCTCCAAATCATCTCGGTAAAGGCCGAGCTCCTTGTAACATCTGATATAAATGATGTCACAAGAGCTGCCTTGGTCGATCAAAATGTGCCTTACTTGGCATTCTCCGATCTTGAGGGTCACTACCAGAGCATCGTTGTGTGGACGCTATACCATGTCTAGGTCTGTTTCAGTAAAGGACACCATTGGTCCCTGGCACTCGTTTGTCCTAGGCCTCTTTTGCTGGACCTGATACACATGTTGTAAATGCCTCACCCTCTAAGTCTCTCCACGCACCTCGTTCTTATTGATCCTCGAGTGAATCACATCAATCACTCGAGGTCCATCTGCTTGCTGTTGTGGTGGCAGTAGAGGTGGCGTTGCCGGTGCTTGAGGCAGCCTCGCCTTTACCAGGTCCCTCAAGTGACCTTGTCTGACCAGGTCTTCCAAATGTATCTTCAGGGCTTTGCATCCCTGAGTCAGATGCCCATCCTCATTATGGTAGGCACAATGCTTCCCAAGGTTTCTCGTCATAAATTCGCCAGGAATCTTCTCCGGCGCTCTATAATATGGCTAATTCCTAATCCTTTCTAGAACTTTATAAACCGAGATCTGGAACACAGTGGTGACTGCCTGTGCAGCCCTTAACCCTGTTTTTTGCCTGTTAAATCCAGTATTACCTCGGCTTCGCTTTGGCGAGCTGTTTCTCTTCTCCTGCTTCGGCGCCTTCGTTCCTGGTGTATTCTCTTCTGCTCTGGCATATTTCTCGATCCTTGCCATGAGCTCCTCCATACTTTTTGGTAGAGTCTTTGCGAGCGATTTCCAAAGCGTGCAATCATCCTCCAGGCCGTTCTTAAAAGACACGACCGCCAGCTCCTGGTTACATCTCGGTATTTGGTTGAACACCTCATAATGCCTTTTGGCATAAGCCCTGAGGCTTTCACCCTCGCCAATTTTCAAAGCCATCAGGGAGTCTACTGCCAATGACTGTAACTTGTTTGTAACAAACCTAGCCACAAACATCTCGGTCAGGCCTTCCCAACACTTCACAGTTCTTTTCGGCAACTTGTGAAACCAATTTGATGCGATTTTCCAAAAGGATGAGGGGAACACCTTGCATAGCAACAGTTCGTTTTCGGTATACAAAACAATTGAATTCAGATATAAGCCGACATGAAAGTTTGGATCGGATTTACCGTCATATATCTGGAACCTCGGCATATGGAACCTTTTTGGGGCCTCACACCTATCCAACTCTACTGAGAACGGCGTTCTCAGCTTGATGGGGGATGTGACCTCGACAGTCTACCGCTTCCTCTGGAGGTAGTCCCTCAAATCCTTCTTAGTCCGACTAGGAGCTTGGCTGTCAACATATTTCAACCTTTTTGGTGCGCTGCTCCTGGTGTTGTTATGCGTCCTCTTGGACTTTTTTTCATTCACCGTATCAAAGCAAAATTCCTTCTCCTGAACATGCCGATGTTCTTTGACATAAGTTCCCTTGGTACGTGGTGTCTTCTGAGACTCTCATCTCATCAACTTTGCTTGCCCGACATCCCGTGAAGGTCGATGTGAGTGTTCTTTTACCCTGTCATGCTGAGGGACTATTGGGATTGCTTTCTGTCCCCTTTTCTAGGCGTCGTTCTTGGCCGCTGGAATCGGCGTGTCCTTTAATGGAAACGGTGGTTGCATGATGTTGTTCTGCATCATGAAATTGACAACCGATTGTAGGTCTGCTAACTTGTTTGCCATTCCCTTCATTTCGCCGTCCCTTCTCAGGCATCTATCTTTCTATACTTGGAGGTCGTTTTCGTTGCAATACTCGTTTTGGCCTACTTTCTTCGGAGCGTCTCCCTCTTGGTCGATGTCCTTCTCCTCGGGATTCTGATCCCGTGGTCCTTTATTATGATTTTCCTCCTCCATGTTAGGATCGGCATGTTTAACACTCCCACGAAGGATGTCGTCCCCGATCTTCTCTTTTTGCCTGTTGTTGGCCATCTATTCTCCTTACGTTCCTACAGACGGCACCAAATTGTGGGTGTTGATTTTTGACTACACAACCAAACAGAGAACTCAACTGGAGAGCACCGGCAGAATAAATTAAGCTAGAACAACCTGTCACAGAAAGATAAGAATCCGACGGTGGTTCGTCCACCCGGGGGCAATTCGACGATCAAGTCAGTAATCAATATCTCTCAAAGATAGCAAATTATGCTTAAACTCACAAGAGAGAACTTATGGTTCTCAGTATCTCCTACATACCTCAGACCCACGAGGGTGCCCTGTTTTTATAGCCAACACTGACCTGATCCTTGTAGAAGCCTTACTTTAGTGGACTCAGGCTCAATGCTCATCATGGACCTTCATCTAGATAGAGATAAACTCTTTTTGAGCTTTATCTTTATCCAAACTGAGATCCTCTCCTATTCTAGGACTTTTGTCCCTTATCCGCTCATCTCAGATTCCGGTATCTCCGCAGATAACTTCGGCCTAGCCAAGATCACCTTGGTATCAGGACCAGGCCACATGGCACCTCGGCTGCCACTCTGGCGTCACCTTGGCCATGTGTTGTCATTCACGAAATATGTCCCCACAATTAGTTTAACTAATATAATCCTATCATCTTTCCTAATGACCGCAACTACATTTTCTACAAGACTCTTGACAACTATTATTCTTACCCCATTCTTGTGTCTATCCTTGCCACTATAATGTAGTTTAAAATTGGTATCCTTCATTTTCTTAATTTTCTCACCCGTCTACTTAGTTTCTTATACGCAAGCTATACTAACTCTCCTCCTAATCATGACATCTAGTTTCCATTTGATCCTTTCATTTAAATTTTTGTTAATTTTATCTACATGTACAACTTAGAAAATTGACAAGTGTCCTAAAACTATTAATTTTAACTTCTAATTTAGACAAAATGACCAAATTGAAACCTTACAAAATTGACAAGTGTCTCAAAATTATTAATTTTAACCTTTAATTTAGATGTAAGGATCAAATTAAAACTATACTTAAAGTGTAGCAACCAAATTGTTCAAATTTAAACTATAGGGACTAAGGTGAAATTTGAGTTAAACTACATGAATAAAAAGTGTAATTACATCAAAAAATATATGGGAAATTTGAGTTAAACCATATACACCCCTAGTTACGACCTTTGTGTCTGTAATTATGACTTATTATGTTGTTAGTTATAACTCATTGCGATATTGGTTATGACATTATTTTGGTAATGATCCAATAGTTTTTTGTTATACCTAATGTGATGTTTAGTTATAACTTATTTTTCTTTTAGTTATGACTCTAATAATATTGACTTATGCCATTTGTGTTTGTGATAATCAAAAACACAAATGGTATAACTTGTATTTGAGGGTATGTACCATACCATTATCCAAAATATGTACGTGATTAAAATGAAGGGCGAGTGTCATGTGATTAATGGTTTGTTCTCAGGAAAAAATAAATAAACTCTAGGGACACAACCAACTACAAAAATTAGTTTTGGCTATACACATTAGACGGTAACACCTATCATTAAAAAATAAAATAAAATAAAAAAAAAAAAAATTTACTCTGAAATCTTTTTATAGGTGAGCTTGATCAAATTGAGCATATACTTCATATGTGAGTATTCAAACCAAAACTTGCAATAATTTACATGAGAATTTTCAAACTCAACTAATTTTCAACCGCTGGGGCAGTCCACTTCATCTTGTACTTCCTTTATTCAGTACAACATATAAGATCTTTAAAAATTAGATTTTTTAATTTTTAAAAGTGAAAATTTTGTTACAAAAGATATTTAAGGACTAATTTTTAAATAGTCACTAAAAGGTCGTCATGAAAAGTAAAAAATAAGACTTTTAGCGACAAAATTTTGAAAATATCACTAATAAATATACTTTTACGGATAAAATAATTTGGTCTCAAAATATTTTATTTTTTGAGACAAATTTGATCCGAAAAAGTTAATAATTTATCTCTAATGTTCAATTTTCGTTACTAAAAATATAATGACACTTTTCGCAATAAAAATATTTGGTCCCTAAAAAACAATTTCTCCCTAAATTTTGGTATTTAAAATCTTAATTTTTTGCAGTGATTTAATTATTTATCGTATTTTCTATCTATAAATACCTATCCATGCACTCAAAGTGCTTCATGCCCTTCATCCTCCATTCAAATAACTGCCCCTCATAGCTTGTAGTTACAAAGCAACAATGACAGCCTTAGCAGAGAGGCTTTCCAACCAGTTTGTTCCTTTCCATGTACTGTTTGTCTTTGTCATGATCTTTGCATTCTTCTCTTCTTTTGATCCTACTGCTTATGCTTCTTCTGCAACTAGTAAAGTTGGAGCTGAAGTAGAGGCTCTCTTGACGTGGAAAGCTAGCCTTGACAGCCAGAGTCAATCTCTCCTTTCACCTTGGAATGAAAGCGGTCATTGCAACTGGGTTGGAATTGGATGCAACAAGGCTGGCAGAGTCACCCATATAGACCTTGAGAGTTACGGTTTGAGAGGTACACTTTCCAATCTTAGCTTCCCTTCCTTTCATCATCTCCTTAGCCTTAAACTTTACAACAACTCAATCTATGGGACCATCCCCTCACAAATCGGTAGCCTTTTGAGACTCACCAATCTTAGTTTGTCCAACAATCATCTTTCAGGAACAATTCCATCAGAAATAGGAATGCTCAGTTCACTCATTTATCTCTCTTTGTGGTCTAATAGACTTATAGGTTTAATACCTCCCTCTATAGGAAATTTGGGCAATTTAACAGAATTATACCTGTTCGATAACCAACTTTCGGGACCCATACCCCATGAAGTTGGGATGCTAAGGTCTCTCTTTGTTCTTTCATTATCATGGAACAAACTTACTGGATCAATCCCTCAAGAAATTGGATTGTTAAGGAGTCTCACTGATCTCCAGTTGTCAACAAACAATCTCACAGGTTCAATACCTTCTTCTATTGGGAACTTGGGTAATTTAACCATTTTGTACCTTCATGAAAACCAACTTTCCGGATCAATCCCTCAAGAAGTTGGGTCGTTAAGGTCTCTTAGTAACCTTTGTTTGGAGTATAACAATCTCACAGGTTCAATACCTTCTTCTATTGGGAACTTGGGTAATTTAACTATGTTGTACCTCTATGAAAACCAACTTTCCGGATCAATCCCTCAAGAAGTTGGGTCGTTAAGGTCTCTCAGTAACCTCTGTTTGGAGTATAACAATCTCACAGGTTCAATACCTTCTTCTATTGGGAACTTGGGTAATTTAACCATTTTGTACCTCTATGAAAACCAACTTTCCGGATCAATCCCTCAAAAAGTTGGGTTGTTAAGGTCTCTTATTGAGCTTGATTTGTCAAAAAACAATCTCACAGGTTCAATACCTTCTTCTATTGGGAACTTGGGTAATTTAACCATCTTGCACCTCTGTGAAAACCAACTTTCCGGATCAATCCCTCAAGAAGTTGGGTCGTTAAGGTCTCTCAGTAAGCTCTGTTTGGGGTCTAACAATCTCATGGGTTCAATACCTTCTTCTATTGGGAACTTGGGTAATTTAACCATTTTGCACCTTTTTAAAAACCAACTTTCTGAATCAATCCCTACTTCAATAGGGCACTTGGGCAACCTAACAGTGTTGTATCTTTATTACAACAAACTCACAGGACGCATTCCTTCAACAATTGGGAAATTGAAGAACCTCAAATTTCTTGCTTTCGCTGAAAATCATATATCTGGGTCCATCCCTCCTGAGTTAGGAAAGCTGAAATCCCTTATTTATCTAAACTTGTTGGGGAACAAACTCACTGGCTCCATTCCTTCAGAATTGGAAAACCTTACAGATTTACAATTTTTTGATATAGCTGATAACAATCTCACAGGTCATCTACCGCAGAATATATGCCTTGGTGGATCACTTAGACATCTGTATGCATCAAACAATAGTTTAATAGGTAGTATCCCAAAAAGCTTGAGAAATTGCAAGCCTTTAATTCGAGTGACACTTGAGCGAAACCAACTCACAGGGAACATATCTGAAGACTTTGGGGTTCTCCCCAACTTGGTTTATATTGATCTGAGTTATAATAATTTCTATGGTGAGCTTTCGCAAAACTGGGGGCGCTGCCACAATTTGACTAGCCTAAAGATCTCCAAAAATAAAATCTCTGGAAAGATATTGCCTGAGCTTGGAGAGGCAACTCAGTTACAAGTACTTGACCTTTCTTCTAATCATCTAGCTAGAGAGATCCCAAACAATTTTAGGAAGTTGGACTTGTTGTTTGACCTTAAACTGAGCGATAATAGACTTTCAGGAAACATTCCAGCAGAATTGGGCAAGCTATCCAATCTGGAACATCTAAACTTGGCGACAAACAAACTTAGTGGCTCAATTCCAAGGCAACTTGGGGAGTGTGTGAAGCTACGAAACTTAAATCTGAGCAAAAATCTTCTCAGTGGTGGTATTCAAACTGAAATAGGTAAATTGCAGTTTCTTCAAACTCTTGATCTTGGAAACAATTCATTAACAGGTGAGATTCCAGAACAGATTGGGGAATTGCAAAGCTTAGAGATATTAAATCTTTCCCACAATAGTCTGTTTGGTTCCATTCCATCATCTTTCAATGGGATGCGAAGTTTCACATCTATTGATATATCTTACAATCACTTGAAAGGTCCTCTGCCCAACACCAAAGCCTTTCAAGATGCTTCATTTGAGGCATATAAAGGTAATGATGGTCTGTGTGGAAATAAGACTGGTTTGCTGCCATGCTCACCTAAAATGAGCAATGGGGTTATGGGGAAAAGGAATAACAAAGTTGTACTTTTGGTTATATTTTCGGTTTTGGGCATTTTATGTCTTGTGGTTGTTGGGATTTTTCTGGTTCATTGCAAAAGAGTAGGAAACATAGAAAATGTGCCTGAAGGAGCAACTAATGAAAATTTGTTTGCAATATGGAGTTATGATGGGAAAATGGTGTACGAAAATATCATTGAAGTGACAGAGGACTTTAATGCCAGACATTGCATTGGTGTGGGAGGATATGGCACTGTTTACAAAGCCAAGTTGCCAAGTAATCAGGTTGTTGCTGTGAAGAAACTTCATTCTTCAGAAGATGGGGAGTTGGCTGACCTAAAAAGCTTTACAAGTGAAATTCGTGCATTGACAGAGATACGACATCGTAATGTCATAAAGCTTTATGGTTTTTGTTCGCATCCACGACACTTATTTTTAGTCTATGAGTTTTTAGAAGGGGGGAGCTTGGAAAGGATATTGAGTAATGATGAAGAAATATTGCATTTTGAGTGGACTAAGAGGGTGAATGTTGTTAGTGATTTGGCAGATGCTTTGTCATACATGCACCATGATTGTTCGCCTCCGGTCATTCATCGCGACATATCAAGCAAGAATGTTCTGCTAGATTCAGAATACGTGGCTCACATCTCTGATTTTGGCACTGCTAGACTTCTGAAGCATCACTCATCCAATTGGACTTCATTCGCAGGAACCTTTGGATATGCCGCTCCAGGTATGGCTCGACTTTTCTTCAAGTCAGCATGCAAAGCCTTTTCTACTATTTTTCTTCTTAAATTTTGATGAACAAACTGTCTTTTCTATTTTCTTTTTCCTTTTTCTCTTTGTCCTCTATTTTTATGCCTTTGTTTTTGTGGCAGAACTTGCTTACACAATGGAAGTGAATGAGAGGTTGGATGTTTATAGCTTTGGAGTTTTAACGCTGGAAGTGTTAATGGGGAAGCATCCGGGCGATCTCATCACATCTGTTTCCTCATCACCACCCACTGCTCACGATATATTGTTGAAAGATATATTGGATTCACGCCTCCCACCTTCTAGGACTCATGTGGAAAAAGAAGTGGTCCTTGTGGCAAAGCTAGCATTGGCTTGTTTACACACCAATCCACAGTGCCGACCAACAATGCGACAAGTTTCTGTGATTCTATCAAAACAGAGTCCTCCCCTGCAGAATTCATTCCACTTGATTTCATTAGGACAACTCATTGATGTCAACTGCTCGACATCCTGAGAATTCTCATTTTCCTCTATTGTTTTGTGTTTTTGTTCTCCCATCTCTACTTTGAAATTTTGATTTTCATTCTGTGTTCATAGTCTAAAAGACATTGAAATACTGAGGTCACATAGCACTGCAGGCAGCTAGCTGCTTGAGAGCGGCTGTGAGGTACAGAATTTTGGTTTCGATTGCTAGTTCTGGATGCCTGCTCTGCTGATTATGTGTGGTTTTAAATAAAATAAAAAAAAGCATTGGATTTTGAGTGGACTAAGATAGTGCATTTGAGTGATAAATTTTATAGGGATATTAGTCATAGTGAAAGGCTGATTTTGTTATGTGGTGGCCATGTTTTTGTAGTTTAAGGTAGGATTATTATTTTTATTTAACGTTGACAAACTGTATTGTACACTTTCTAGAGTAGCACATTCTTTCATTCTTAACTCCAATGTTCAGTCTCTCTTTGTAGAATCAAAATTTTCATGAACTTGTAAATGGCGCTGTTTGGACTTGTGTATTACCTCCTTTCAGTCTTTAGCTTTATGTATCTGCTCGTTGAAATATAAAGACCGCAGTTTCGAGTGCAGCTTTGGGGGAGTGGGTTCTAATATGTGGGTGAATTGCCATTGCAAATTAAGGAATATCCAATGCAACGGTACGCTCTTCTTATTCTCATCTTCTTTTATTTTATTTTATTTTATTTTTATTTATTTATTTTAGTTCTCTTTTATGAACCAGGCAGAATGGGGCTCTGATAGCTTGCCTTGTTTGCACTTGGACAAGTTAATTCATCAAATAGTCAAGTTTCTATCCCCAAAATTTTCAGTCTCAATGCATTGGTAGTCATGTGTTTGTGTCTGGAGATTTTTGTGTTCCAGATCCTAAAAAATCCTATGGTTGACAATGCATTCGATGAGTGGTATTTGGGAACATAAGATTCTCACCTCTGTGGCAATTCCTGTTACTTTGTAATTTTTTTATTTTTGAAAAATTAAAAATTAGTTTCAAAAAAATAAACACAGAAAAAGATATTTTTGAATTTAAACAAAAATCTTTTATCCCTAAGAAATATATATATTTTTAATGAAAATAATAAGTTTTTTAAAAAAATTTCCCCACTAAATTAGTTTTTGAATTTTTTTTTTTTTTTTTTTACCAAACTGATTCAAAAACTCTTATAGGATTCTTCCATTCACATGGCTGATGATGCTTAGCTGGTGGGATTTAAACCTTGTCATTCTTTCCATGGTAGCTCCAAACTTACCTCTAAACCCAAGACAATTACAATTAAGTTGTTGTAGTTTGGCAATGTTTATTCTTATTTTTATATAATAGTATAGATATCTGAAATATATTTGTATATAATGTAGTGGGTGTTAGAGAAGAAAGGAGCGACAAAATATTATATCGATGTGATTAGGGATATGTATGAATGTGTGGTGACCATTATTAGATTGCTTATTGGATAGACAAGTGAATTTTCAATTACTATAGAGTTACACCAAAGATCAACCTTAAGTCCTTAACTTTTTGCTTTAGTTATGGATAAGTTGACGAGAAATATTAAGGATGTTGTGCCATGGTGTATACTTTTTATAGATGATATCGTGTTAGTAGATGAGACTAGAGAAGAAGTTAACACTAAGTTGGAGACTTGGAGAGAAGCACTTGAATCTAAAGGATTTAGGATAAGTAGAACTAAGACAGAGTATATGGAGTGTAATTTTAGTAACAGTAACAATGAAAATAGAGGAGAATTGAAAATTAAGAACCAAGCACTACCAAAGAGTGAATATTTTCATTATTTAGGATTAATTATCACAACGGTTGAGGAGATTGGAGTGGATGTGATTTATAAAATTAAGGTAGGATAGCTTAAGTGGAGGAGTGCGTCTAGGGTACTATGTGATGAACGAGTACCCACTAGAGTAAAAGGAAAGTTCTATAGAACGACTATTAGATTAGCGATGTTGTATGAGACGAAATATTGGGCAACTAAGAAACAACATGTAGGTAAGATGAGTGTTGCTGAGATGAGGATGTTTAAGGTGGATGCGTGTCAAGACTAGAAAAGACAGAGTTAGAAATAAGTATATTCAAGGATGGGTAGGAGTAGTATCGATAGAAGATAAGTTAAGAGAGAATAGATTGAGATGGTTTAGTCATATACAACGGAGATCAACAAAGACAGTAGTGAAGAGATGCGATATAGTGATGATAGATAGAAGTGTTAGGAGAAGGGGCAGATCTAGAGTGACAAGGGTTAGGGTAGTAAATAAAGATATGAATTTTCTTAATTTGACTAACGATATGTCCTTAGATAGAATCGAATGGAAAAGAATGATTCATGTAGTTGACCCCATTTGATAGAATTTATGGTTTAGTTTGATTTGGTTATCTAAAATATATTTGTGGAATTGTCAATCCTTTGAGTAATGGTAAAAATTAGAATTGCACAGCATTTTAATGTGGATTTGGATCGAAAACACAATTATATTCATATTGCTGTCAGTGCTAAAAAAAATAGTTAGATTTGTATCCAATTATAATTTATATTGATTTTTCGTACCGACAAAAAACAAATTGTAATTTTTTGTTATTTCTCAATTAAGGAAGCGATCACTAAACTGATATCTTGAATAATATATGAATTATTTTAAAAGAAATTTTGAGGTTTGAATTTTATTGTCTACTAAAAAAAAAATGGAGCCAATTATAACTTGATAATTTCTGTGTTTGTAATATTGTTGAAAAAATTATTGAAAATGTTCCTAAGATATTGAGATTATTTTATTTGAGCTGTTTATAAATATATATATATATATATATATATATTTTGGAGTTTGTGTTAAATTATTTGGTGTAACTTTTGTTTATAGCTGATTAAACAAAAAATGTTTACATAGATTGGAAAAAGTTGATAATCTAGAAGTTGAGAGATGGGTTTTTTTGCTTATGTTTTCTGGTTATCAGTTTTTAACTTACAATAAATTTTGAGAAAAAGATTGAAAACTGTTATATCAAAAACAGAAAAGAGAAATTACACTTACCTTTGGCAAGTTTTAAAAATACACTAAACTCCACAAGCTTAATATAATTATATTATGCTATTTAAAAATTGGGAAAATTAGTCTAAGGGCCCTCTCCCATTTTTAGTAATGGAAGAGATCCACAATATTATTTTATAATGTCTAAGGTCCTTCAGCTCCCACATTCATATATCACAGAGAAATTTGACTCTATGAAATATTATAAAATCGTTACATATATTTTTTTGTTCCAGGTTTCGATCAATCGTAACCATGGAAAGGGGTGGAGCCATGAGAGTAGTAGCGAAGGTAGTTGGAATCACCATCGTGAATGACGATCTTTGCGGCGTCCCGTCGGTATCTCCGGCGGAACATCAAGTCAGCTCAGCCACTCACAGAGCCAGTCGTCCTATCTCATTTATCATTGCTTCTTCCGAAGAGGTGAATCGGAACATCTTGACAACTTTTCAGAACAATCCAATCGACGCTGCGTCGTAGAGGTTGTGTTGGGAGCTCGACGATTGGGAGTTGAAAGTTCTGTTGAGTGCTTCGAAAGTTAAAATCATAAATATGGCAAATATTTTTTGATTGTATAAATATATATATATATATAGAGAGAGAGAGAGAGAGAGAGAGAGGTCGGACATGGGAAGAAGGAAATTGATGATGTGTACCCTTCTCTCCAGTAGAATCCCACTCTTTTTATTGTGTTTGTGAATTGTGATAATGTGCATATATATGAGTCAACTGATTTCTTGTAAAAAAAATGATTTACTATTATCATTTCAGTAGAATTTAAGAATTTATCCATTGTCAATGACAAACTCATGTACGGAATGGAACATTTTGTCAGACCTGAAACAAGCAAATAGAAATCTCCTCCAACTTGGTTTGGATTTTGGGAGAACCTCTTTTTTTGATCTCATAACTAGTAAGTTTCTCCCACTCTTCTTATCGAGACTACTTATATTCAATAATTGATATTTGATTCTACAGAATTCAGGTTGTAGAGCTGGTAATAATTGTTGATTTTGCTAAATTCGACTTCACAGAGAAAATTGGTGCAGAATTGTAGAATTTCTGAATCAATATCAACAATATAGCATATTCAAACAAGATGAAGCACATTACAATTTCTCTGGAGAGAATGGAAGGCCAGAGAAATTTACAGTGGGAATTCTAGGGAATTTCAGAGAAATTGGAAAGTCCAGAGAAATTCTTCTCTGGACCAATTTTCTCTTTGAAGTTGAATTTTCTCTGGAAGTCTAGGGAATGACTTCTTCTCTTTCTTGTCTATGCTAAGGTATGGCAAGATCTTACTGTCAACCACCTCATCTTGTTGGACTTGATCTACAAAGAGCACTAGGATTAGCAAACAGAATTTTGATAGCAACCCTTCATGAAAAGATATTTGTAAGAGAACATATAAAATGCACGATGATGCAGAATTTCCTGGATTGTGTGAATTTTCTCTGAACCATTTGAATTTTCTCTGGATGTCTAAATTTTCTCTGGACTATCTGAATTTTCTCTGGATAAAGAGAATTTCTCTGGACATCCAGAGAAATTCTCTGGACCGAATTTTCTCTGGATCGAATTTTCTCTGGATTGATGTTGGGGGACCTTAGACATTATGAAAATATTGAGTGTCCTTTATGCTATAAATTCTTAATATCAGGGACCTTAAAAAAAATCCCCCTTAAAAATTTAATTCATACACTATTTTATCTTATTTTTATTAGTCATTTGTCAATTGTATTAATAGAAAAATTAAGTGTCATTTATGATTTTTAGTGAGTTTAGATACTTATTTGAAAAGACTAAATGTATTGAAAAGTGAGAGTCAACTTTGTAAAAATTGACTTACATAATTTTTTAAGGTAAGTCATTTTTGAGGAAATGATGCAAAAATATTTTTTTAAAAAAATATTTTATTAATTACTTTTTGTTCAACCAAACAACGAAAAATGAGTAAAATATTTTTGACAAAAATATTTTACGTCGAAACAAACCGAACCAAAATGAAAAAGAATGATGATAAACTGAATAACCATTAATAAAAAATTCATTTTTTATTCAATTACCCATAAAAAATTAAAAAAGCAAGTCATTATATTTCTTCTACATTTTCTTCCCTCAACAAATTTTAAATTCAAAATAGGACATCAGTGTCTAAGGCAATTGGAGGGATGTTAATACCATAGTTCACAGAATCTTAATGGTGAATGAAATTCTCGAAAGTTTTTTTTCTGCCTAATGGATGAAAACATAAGCAAAAAGCACTATGCAAGTCAAAGATATGTATTCAGGGCATTTGGCTTAGGGGTTGTGTAATATCACAAACCTTTGTAGTGTGAAGCTGATGGTTCAAACTCCTACAAAGAGGAATTTGATACCCTTTTGTGGTGGTTTATTTTCTCCCCCATTATATAGATTATATGTAATTCGGAGTGATTGTTGGGCTTGGTTATTGGTTGTTAGACTTCATTAACTTTCTAATTAATGATATAAATACTTTTCATATTTGAAATTACTCTCCTATCGATTGACTAGAAAAAAAAAGAAAGTCAAAGATCTGTAGAATCATGAGTAAAATGCTGACCAGATAAAATCCAATGGAAAATAAAGTATGCAAGTTATTCCATAGGAACTCATTCAAACAATCTGATGTGTGAGGTGAAATCTTATTGCTCAGTTTGATTTGTGATGTGAAATCTTATCGTTCAGTTGATCAAACTGAGCCTATACTTCATAGGTGAGTATTCAAACCATAGGAACTCATTCAAAGAATCTGATCTGATGTTAACTCTTATTGCTCAATTGATAAAACTGATCCTATACTTCATAGTTGAATATTAAATTTTATTGTTCAGTTGATCAAACTGAGCCTATACTTCATAGGTGAGTATTCAAACCAAAACATGGAATGAGAAACATCAGAATTTTTAATCCCAATAACTATTCTCCAAGCAACTGGGTGGGCAGTCCACTACATATTTCTTTCCTTATTTTTTTTGTAATTTTTTTTTAAACGTATGTATTGCATTTTCTATCTATAAATACCTCTCCATGCACCCAAAACCTTCATGCTCATAATCTCTCCACCCAATAACTACTCCTAATAGCTTCGAGTAACAAACCAACGATGGCAGCCTTAGCAAATAGGTTTTCCAACCAGTTTATTCCTTTCCATGTCCTGTTTGTCTTTGTCAAGATCCTTGCATTGGTCTTTTCTTCTAATTCTACTGCTTATGCTTCTTCTGCAACTAGTAAAGTTGGAGAAGAACAAACTGAAGCAATGGCTCTCTTGATGTGGAAAGCTAGCCTTGACAACCATAGTCAATCTCTCCTGTCATCTTGGAATGGAAGCAGTCATTGCAATTGGGTTGGAATTGGATGCAATAAGGCTGGTCGAGTCACCCATATAGACCTTGAGAGTTCTAGTTTGAGAGGTACGCTTTCCAATCTTAGCTTCACTTCCTTTCATCATCTCCTCAGTCTTAAACTTTACAACAACTCAATCTACGACACCATCCCCTCACAGATTGGTAGCCTTTCGAGACTCACCAATCTTAGCTTGTCCAACAATCATCTTTCAGGAATAATTCCATCAGAAATAGGAAATCTCAATTCACTCTTTGATCTCTCTTTGTCGTCTAATAGCCTCATAGGGTCAATACCTCCGTCTATACGAAATTTGGGCAATTTAACCAAATTACACCTTTTCAACAACCAACTTTCTGGACCCATAACCCAAGAAGTTGGGATGCTTAGGTCTCTTTTTGTTCTTTCATTGTCAGGGAACAACCTTACTGGATCAATCCCTCGTGAAGTTGGATTGCTAAGGTCTCTTATTGAGCTCGATTTCTCAGAAAACAATCTCATGGGTTCAATACCTTCTTCTATTGGGAACTTGGGTAATTTAACCATTTTGTACCTGTTTGAAAACCAACTTTCCGGATCAATCCCTCAAGAAGTTGGGTTGTTAAGGTCTCTTATTGAGCTTGATTTCTCAAAAAACAATCTCATGGGTTCAATACCTTCTTCTATTGGGAACTTGGGAAATTTAACCACGTTGTTTCTATATGAAAACCAACTTTCCGGATCAATCCCTCAAGAAGTTGGGTTGTTAAGGTCTCTTATTAAGCTTGATTTCTCAGAAAACAATCTCACAAGTCCAATACCTTCTTCTATTGGGAACTTGGGTAATTTAACCTTTTTATCCCTTCGTGGAAACCAACTTTCCGGATCAATCCCTAAAGAAGTTGGTTTGTTAAGGTCTCTTAGTAACCTCAGTTTGGGCTTTAACAATCTCATGGGTTCAATACCTGCTTCTATTGGGAACTTGGGTAATTTAACCGCTTTATACCTTCGTGAAAACCAACTTTCCGGATCAATCCCTAAAGAAATTGGGTTGTTAAGGTCTCTTAGTTACCTCAATTTGAGAGAGAACAATCTCATGGGTTCAATACCTTCTTCTATTGGGTATTTGGGTAATTTAACCGATTTATATCTATATCGAAACCAACTTTCCGGATCAATCCCTGAAGAAGTTGGGTTGTTAAGGTCTCTTAATGAGCTTGATTTCTCAAATAATAATCTCACGGGTTCAATACCTTCTTCTATTGGGAACTTAGGCAACCTAACACTTTTATATCTTTCTTTCAACAATCTCACTGGACACATCCCTTCCACTATTGGGAAGTTGAAGAACCTCCAAGATCTTTCTATATGTAGAAATCAAATATCTGGCTCCATCCCTCCTGAGTTAGGAAAGCTAAACTCTCTTATATGGTTTGGCTTGTTAGGGAACAAACTCACCGGCTCCATTCCTCCAGAATTTGAAAACCTTACACATTTACAGTTATTTGATATATATGATAACAAAATTACAGGTTTTCTACCTCAGAATATATGCCTTGGTGGATCACTTACAAAACTGGTTGCATCAAACAACAACTTAATAGGCAGAATCCCGAAGAGCTTGAAAAATTGCAAGTCTTTAACTCAAGTTAGGCTTCAACAAAACCAACTCACAGGGAACATATCAGAAGATTTTGGGTTTCTCCCCAACTTGGTTTATATCGATCTGAGCTATAATAATTTCTATGGTGAGCTTTCGCAAAACTGGGGGCGCTGCCACAATTTGACTAGCCTAAAGATCTCTGAAAATAAAATCTCTGGAAAGATATTGCCGGAGCTTGGAGGGGCAACTCAATTACAAGTGCTTGACCTTTCTTCAAATAATCTAGTTGGGGAGATCCCTAAGAATTTGGAAAATTTGAACTTATTGTTTGACCTTACTCTGAGCAATAATAGACTTTCAGGCAACATTCCAGCAGAATTGGGAAGCCTATCCAATCTACAAAATCTAAACTTGGCAACAAACAAACTTAGTGGCTCAATTCCAAGTCAATTGGGGGAGTGTGTAAAGCTACTGAACTTAAATCTAAGCGAAAATCTTCTCAGCGGTGGTATTCAAACTGAAATAGGCAAATTGCAATTTCTTCAAACTCTTGATCTTGGAAACAATTCATTGACGGGTGAGATTCCACAACCGATTGGGGAATTGCAAATCTTAGAGACATTAAATCTTTCCCACAATAGTCTGTCTGGTTCCATTCCGTCCTCTTTCAATGGGATGAGAAGTTTCACATCTATTGACATATCTTACAATCACTTGGAAGGTCCTTTGCCCAACACCAAAGCCTTTCAAGATGCTCCATTTGAGGCATACGTGGGTAATGATGGTTTGTGTGGAAATAAGACTGGTTTGATGCCATGCTCTCCAAACATAAGCAATGGGGCTAAAGGTAACAAGCACAACAAAATTTTGCTTTTGGTCTTAGTTCCTGTTTCGGGAATTTTATTACTTGGGGCTATTGGGAGTTTTCTAGTCCTTCGGAAAAGAGTGGGAAACATAGCAAATGAGCCTGAAGGAGCTAATAATGAAAATTTGTTTGCAATATGGAGCTATGATGGAAAAATGGTCTATGAAAACATCATTGAAGCAACAGAGGGCTTTAATGCCAGACACTGCATTGGCGTGGGAGGATGTGGCACTGTTTATAGAGTTGAGTTGCCAAGTGGTCAGATTGTTGCTGTGAAGAAACTTCACTCTTCACAAGACGGTGAGTTGGCCTACCTAAGAAGTTTTACAAGTGAGATTCATGCATTGACAGAGATACGACATCGTAATATCATAAAGCTTTATGGTTTTTGTTCGCATCCACAGCACTCATTTTTAGTTTATGAGTTTTTGGAAGGAGGGAGCTTGGAAAAGATATTGAGCAATGACGAAACAACATTGGATTTTGAGTGGACTAAGAGGGTGAATGTTGTTAGTGGTTTGGCAGATGCTTTGTCATACATGCACCATGATTGCTTGCCACCGGTCATCCATCGTGATATATCAAGCAAGAATGTTCTGCTAGATTCAGAATACGTGGCTCACATATCTGATTTTGGCACTGCTAGACTTCTAAACCCTCACTCTTCCAATTGGACCTCGTTTGCAGGAACCTTTGGATATGCGGCTCCAGGTATGGCATGACTTCTATTCAAATCAACATGCAAAGCCTTTTTTTACTATTCTTCTTCTTCTTAAATTTCCATGAACAAACTGTCGTTACTTTTTTCTTTTTCCTTTTTTGCCTCTATCCGTTTTTTTTCTTAGCTTTGTTTTTGTGGCAGAACTTGCTTACACAATGCAAGTGAATGAGAAGTTGGATGTTTATAGCTTTGGAGTTTTAATGCTGGAAGTGTTAATGGGGAAGCATCCGGGTGATCTCATCACATATGTTTCCGCATCACCAGTCACTGCTCATGATATATTGTTGAAAGATATATTGGATTCGCGCCTCCCAATTCCTAGGACTCGTATGGAAAAAGAAGTGGTCCTTGTTGCAAAGCTGGCGTTGGCATGTTTACACACCAGTCCACAGTGCCGACCAACAATGCGACAAGTTTCTGTGGCTCTATCAAAACAGAGGCCGCCTCTGCCAAATTCATTCCACTTGATTTCATTAGGACAACTCTTTGAAGTCAATCATTTGGCATCTTGAGAATTCTCATTTTGATGGGTCAATTGTTATGTGTTATCGTTCTCTGATTTCCACTTCAAAATTTGATTTTTGTTCTCTTTGTTATTTATTTATCTACCCTTTGCTGTGAGGTATATAATTTGGCTTAGATTGCTAGTTTTGGATGCTTGCTCTGCTGATTATGTCTTGTTTTGAAGAAAATGGAAAATGAGAAAAAAAATAGTATATTTCAGTAATAATTTTCTAAGAATATTTTAGATATGGTGAAAGGCTGATGCTGTTATGTGGCGGCCATGTTTTTGTAGTTTTAAGGTAGGATCCATTTCGCTTCCATGCTAGTTCCAAACTTACCACTAAACCCAAGACAAGTACAATTTAATTGTTGTTTTTCTTGTTTTTACAGTTTGCATCTGAAATATATTTGTGGAATTGTCAATCTTTTGAGTAATAGTAAAACCTTGATTTGCAGAGTATTTTAATGTGGATTTTGATTGAAAGTGCAGTCATATTCATATTGCTGTCAGTGATGAAAAAATGATTTGATTTGTATCCAATTATAATTTGTATTGATTTTTTGTTCCAACCAAATAAAATTGATTTTTTATGTGAGCTGTTTAGGTAAGTATATATATATATATATATTAGAGTTTGTGTATATATATATTTTAGAGTTTGTGTAAATTTGTTTGGTGTAAAGTCTGTTTATAACTTACTAAACAAAAATAGTTTAAATAAATTAAAAAAACAACAACTGATAATTTAAAAGTTGAGAGAGGGTGTTTTTTGCTTATTAAGATTTTAATTTACAATAAGTCTTTAGGAGGAGTTTGAAAACTGTTACAGCAAAAACAAAAAAGAAAAGAATTGCACTAACCTTTCATAAGTTTAAAAAAATATACACTAAACTCCACAAGGCTTAATTATTACACTATGCTTCTTTACAAGTTTAAGTAATAATATTTTATCTTTTTTTTATTAGTCATTTGTTAGTTGTATTAATAGAAAAATTATATAACAATTACATTAAAATAAAAGTTAGTATGCTTGGGTTATATTAAAATAAGAGTAATGTTAGAAACTTAAAAGATTTATCAAAATTTTTATCAAATATTTCACATGGGTGTAGGATCCGTATGAGACCCATATGGTATAAGTCTCACACCTATGTAAAACCTTTGATAAAAATTTTGATAAATCTTTTAAGATTTCTAACATTTTCCTTAAAATAAATAGAAGAATTATGTTTGGGTTGCTTAGGTCCAAGTCTTCTCAATTGGCGTGTAGTACTAGTAAGGGCTCGTGCTTTGTGGTATATATTATTTTAATAAATGTATTGTTGAATATTTTTAACATAATTATATAATTTATTTGATGTAATTCATGATATTTATAAATTATCATCTCTAACTAATTTTAAAAAATAAAAAATAAAAAATAAAAAATAAAAACCAGTGTGTTGTTAATGATTTTCATACTATGGTGTTTGATATAAAGCCAAAAGTCACAATTTTTATTTTCAATTTTTTTTCCTTTAGTATATTTTCAAAATTATGTCATTTTTTATTTTTTATTTTTTTCGGTCTCTCTTGTGTAAATGAATCTAAAAAGTATTTTTTTTTTCAAAAAAAAAAAATTAAAAAAAAAGTTGAAAGAGCCAAATACTTTTTTGCTTGTTTTTTGTTGTTGTTTTTTTCTAGACTTTTATTTTTCAAAATTATTATTATTATTATTATTTACTTTATCGATCCATCTGGTTGAGTAGAACCCAAAAATGTGAAGTTTTTGAAATTAAAAAAAATTAAAAATAAAAAAAAAGCCAACAAAAAAGCCATTAAAAAAGAAAAAGAAAAAGAAACAAACTTCAAACACCCAATTTCTTATGGTAAAGGAAAAGGAAAAGGAAAAGAAATAGAATGAAAAAAAATGTGATAAACTGAATAACCATTAATAAAAAAATAAATTTTTATAGAATGACCCACAAAAAATTAAAAAAATAAAATCATTCCATTTCTTCTACATTTTCTTCCCTTCAACAAATTTTAAATTTGTTATGTAAGAACGTCATTAAATCACACAAGAAATAATAACAAGAAGAACAAGTACACACAAACACAAGATATACGTGGTCCAACGAGATGCCTACGTCCATAGTGGAGAAACGATCAAAATCCATTATACGCAATAAGGATTACAAGAATACTTTGCAACTCTATGTTTTTGTTACACTCACGAAACCGTACCCGAAATTAACAATATATATCACCAAAACTTCGAGCCAGGGGTGTTGCCCCCGGACCCTCACAAAGGGCCTGGGTTCTGCCTTCGTAAAAAATCCCTTACAATACTTCGAGGGTGTGTTTGTTTTGAAGGATTAAGGGTTGGGATTGAACTATTAGTCCCACCAGACTAATAGTCCATTGTTTGTTTCATTTTTTTTGCTCCGGATTAATAGTCCTCCCGGACTATTAGTCCCACAAATATGAGACTATCCTATCCCATGGGGGGAGGTGAGATAGAAACCATGGGATTGGTATCCCATGGGATTATTTTGTGAAATGTCCATTTTACCCTCCATACTATTACTTAGTAAACAATTAGAAAATGATAAAATAATCTTTTGAACATTTATAAATTATTTTTTTAGCGTTGTTAATTTAAAATTATATATTAAATAAAAAAATTAAATTATAAATTAAATTTAATTAAAAATAGTAAATTATAAATTATGGCCTTATAAATTAAATTTTTTTAGTGTTGTTAAAAAATTAAATTTACATATTAAATAAAATTATTTTTTTAGTGTTGTTAATTTAAATTTACTTAAATATCAAAAATATAAAAGTTATTAAATTTTTTTATTTTTTAAATAAATACTAAATTATAATGAGTAGCCTTATAAATTAAATTTGTTTGATGTTGTTGAAAATTTAATTTATATATTAAATAAAATTATTTTTTATTGTCGTTAATTTAAAATTATATATTAAATAAAAAATATAAATTATAAATTTAATTTAATTGAAAATAATAAATTAAAATAATTAAAATATTGTGCAAAAAATAAAATAAAATAAATTTTTATTTAATCTAGCTAAAAATAATTAAAATATTAAAGTTATGTTTAATATTGCTATTACTTAGTAAATAATTAAAAAAGATAAAATAGTCATTTGAGCATTTATCCTTCTCCATAATATCCCAAACAAACATTGGATAACTAAAAATAGTTCAATCCAGACATCTAATCACATGACTAAACAAATATAGGATACAAATTTAGTCCAACCACATAGTTCTAGAACAATGTATCCTATGACTAATAGTCCGATGAATTATAATCCCCCATTATCCAGTCCGTCTAAACAAACGCACCCAGAGTGTACAATAAATACAAGGCACCTCATAAATTCAACATAGCATATTAGCGAGGGATGTTAATTCCATAGTTCACAGAATCTCAATGGTGGACGAAATTCTTAGAAGTTTTTTTCACTGAATGGAAGAAAACATAAACAAAAAGCACTATGCAAGTCAAAGATATGTAATCAATGTAGCACTCTGTGCTTCCTGTTATAATAGAACTATATTTGACTCTTTGATTATCTTGATTAAGAACCTTCTTAGTTGATATTTGAGCCTTGGTTGAGGTGTTACCATAGTGGTTGGGTGAGATTGAATCAGAAACTCCAAATTCGAATAATTATTATTGAGTAGATTTCTCTCTTTCATCATTTTCTCTCTCCGCACTTTGAATCTTGATGTGAGGCTAGAACCATTGGAAATCTTACTTTGATGGCTTTAATTTGGGCACAAGAACGACTATAAACAGAGTCCGGATGAGAGAGTTATACCTGTTTGAAGTTTGCAAATTTGTATTGTGTGCGTAGTTCGCTCGAGCAAGCCATAGACCCTTCCAGCTCTGTTTTTCAAAATTGTTTGAGATACTGGAAGCCTCGATTCTTCACTCGAGCACAACTTTTGTCGCTCGAGCGAACTGTTTAGAATCATATCTTTAAAAGTCACTTTTTGGGTCAAATCTCTTCACTTTTCACTTCATTTTCTCTCTTCTTCCGCCATTTTTGAGTTTTCAAGCTTTTCAGCCTTGATTTCATCTATGTCTACACATCTTTGATCCCTAGTTCCATATACCAAACTGTAGAGCTCGACGACAACTTCCATTTAAAGTGAGCGGATCTAGTTTTCGTTGAAGTTGGATTTTCGGGCTTCTTCTCTTCATTACTTGAGGTAGGGATTTCTTTGCTCCTTTTCAATATCTCATCTATAGATAGATATGTGGTAGATTTTATTGCGTAAAAATCATATCCGTTATGGATTTCTTTGAAAATCATGAAAGGGGATCTAGGGTTTGTTATTTGTGAATGAGATTGTTAAATTGATTGTTGTTTGGGTTAATTGGGGAGTAGTCTAAAATGTTTATGTTGAAATAGAGAAAAAATCGTAATTTAATATTTTGACATGGTGAATTAAAAAGGGATAAAGTTGAATAATGTTTGTAAATTGTTATTATGGTTTTTGTAAATATGTTAATAGCAAAAAGGGAGAATTAACTATGGCATTGGAATTATCTTGAATTGATCATATTAAGTTGATTGGGTTGTGGCCTTGATATCCATGGATTTAGTTTTGTGAAATGAAAAGAATGGATTGGGGATAAAGATTGGAGTATGTTAACTTGGAAAATAAGAGAATTGATTTTTGAAAAGAAAGAAGGAAATCATAACACTATGTGAATTTCATAAATGAACTTGAGATTGGATTATGAATATTTTATTTTACTATTGTTATTGTTGGATTTAAAATCTCATGAGAGTTGGATTATTATAATACGTGTGCTGAGTACATACATTTAGAGGTTTTGTCCTTGGTCATTAGTGGAGGATTACATTGTTGTATTGAATAGTTTATGTGTATACATTACACTTGCGTTAGTTGTACTTTTGACATGTTGTGATGATTGGTAATGTATACTGCGCTGAGAATAAGAGGTACCATTACCTTCCAGCTAGCGCCTGGAGAATTGGTTGTGCTTAGAATGAGAAGTACCAGTACCTTCTAGCTAGCACATGGAGAACTTGGTAGAGATACCATTACCTTCCAGCCTATGTCTGGTAAATTGACATTTCATTATGGAAAGGTATATTCTTGGCTTACCGTGCTTAAGGCAGTAGAGTATAGCTTATATATCATTATTATCTCAGTGTACCTGTGTATATCATGCGTTATGATGGTTGTGGTTCAGGAAGATCGAGTTGTCTCATATGTTAAGTAGATAGTTGTGGGGTGCTTATTGTTTTCGTTTTTCCTGTTAGATGTATATATGTAAATTTGAACATGTTGGGAAAAAATGTAGACCATGTATTTAGTTTGTGAATAATGTGAAGGAAATCATAGATTTATGA